GGGTATGACCATATTTTAATTATCCTAGTAGAATTAGATGTAATATATGTAAAATCAAACCAAAAAACCTTCCATACTCTAACACCAACGGTGATAGTAACGGTAATGCTAGATGTTTATACAGAAGATCATCATGTGATCACGTGAATTTCAGCATCATCCGATTTCCATCATCCCCGACAATAATTATCTTAATTGAATAAATTTTTTTATACGCTTAAAGTACTTCTTATTTTCGTGAAAAAAAAGTCAGTATTTAAAAAATTTCTTAGATACGAGTCTTATAAAATTTAATTTATAATTTGAGAAAACGAAGGTGTTTTGTCGTTAAAATAAAAAAAGAATGACATGTAACTAAAATCTGGTACTTCGTGGAAGAAGCACAAAATGATCTCAAATAAGTTTGTGCAAAGAACTGAGTAAAAGGTTAAATTAATCACGGTTTATACTGTTTAAAATATAAGAAATTATTATAACGAATTATTGTTTTTATTAAGTTATATTTTTACTAAATTCTAACTAATGCCAGTCTAAAGTACTATATAAAAACAATTTGAAAGAATATGTATTATTGGTTAGATGAAATAAAGATAATAAATTTTGTGAAGAAAACAGAATTTTTAATATGAATACAGACAAAATTGAAAATTATATTATTGATAATATTTCATAAACCCGTGGTTGGAATTTGACAATTTTTTATAACATTTCAATTCATCTCAATGAGACGAATCAAACAATATAAAAATTGGTAAATTCTAGTCACTATGGTCTATTTAACGAAAATGGTACGTATTAAATTTTATTGTCCTATTGCTGAGGTAGTTATTCCATTCCATAATGAATCAGTTAATGAGATTGAACTATTTATCCTCTGAAAATGTTAATTATTATTATTATTATTATTATAGAATTTATAAGTGTAAATTTGAAACCTCCCAAGTAACCGTACGATTAGTGTTTCGAACCTATTTTTGACAGGCCATCTGGATCCGGATTGAATCCGCATTAAAATATATATAAAGCCAGCTTTTATGTACACTCTTAGGTTCGTTATTTAAGTTTCTTGACCAATCCGAATAAAAATCTCTAATCTGAATATCTAGATTTAAGGATCAATTCAGACAGTCGGATTTCGGATCGAAACACTACGTACGATTTCGATGAGATAAATTATCATAACGTTGACCATGGGTCCTTCACTTTGAAATGGTACGGTAAGTATATATATATATAGAGTATAAATATATTTTATTTTAGCTTAGGAAATAAAAAAAAATAACTCAATAAACTTTGAAACATACATACAAAAGTATGTTTTTAAAATTTTTAACATTAAAATTTGCAAACTAACGCTAGATGATTTGGAAAATAATATATATACTTTGGGATTAATTAATTGTAACTACCGGTAATTATTTTGGATTAACCAATTAAGTGGTTCGGTTCAAGTCTATTACGTGTCGAAGCTTCTGTATAATGTTATGCAACATATTATGTAATTCCGTAGTTCAGGCAAAAACTTATGTAATATTACCAAACATATCGATATTTTTTCATAAATTACCAAAATCAGAGAGTTTTAAAGCATGTGATCGTGGGACTTAATATAATGCATACAGGCACCTTACTGGATATACGATTTTCTTAACTTTTATAATGATAGATTGGTTAAATTTTTTGGGTTGGACCTTTCTCCCTCAATTAGCGACAAACTTTATTCAAAGTATTTATTACAGGATAGTATATTATGCTGGCGCAAACATTCCAAAACCTGGTCAACCGAAACATACGTTACATCGAAAAAGAATATTCGTCGTAGTAGTTTTGGCGTATTTGATCTACACAATTGTAGATGTTATTTATTCAAGAATGCCAAATTACTATGACGTACTCAATATTAATCAAGACTTTACAATCAAAGAAATAAAGACTAACCTTAGGAAGCTGTGAGTCTGTGCTTTTTTCTTACAATGATTGTCTCTTTTAGCAATTCCAAACGTCTAAAAAAAAAAAAAACATTACAACATTGTAGCCAACTTGAATTCCATCCTGATAAGAACCAAGGACAAGACGCACAAGATACTTTTATTTTATTACGCGTTGCCTATGATACTCTAACAGATCCAATTAAACGATTCGCATATGACAGGTTTAGTTCATTATGTTAATATTACTGTCTTTTACTTGTCCGTTAATGTTTCTTTTTAAATAACAAATGGATAACTATATAGATTTGGCGCCGAAATTAATAATTGGAATAATTGCATCACTTTGCGTGATTATCTTGTTAACGGTTGGACTTCCTTTTTTGGCTTTTATATAGGTGCAGGCCTTGTTCTATTCATCTTAAACGTATTAGGTAAAGGTCAATTCGGTCGGTTTTGGAGATTTGTCGTATTTTTTGCCATAGCCTGCCTTGAAGCTTCGATGATTTTACATCCAAATCCACCTTTTATTACATCTTTATTTTTATCGAGATGGGTCATCTTTGAACAAATTATTATTTTACGTCAACTTTTTATTACCACATTTATCGCACTTTCTCAAATTGGTCCGGTATTATTTCCTTCTGATGAGATAATAATCAGTCCTTCACTTGTGGGTCTTGAAACCCTTAGCAAAGTTGCGGCTACAGAATCTAGAAATCTACTTCGAACAAGCTTTCAGCCTTTTCAGGAAAACGTTACTGCACAAAAAGAATTAGAGAAAAAGATGGAGAATTTAGTAGTAGATGCTTTTTTATATCAAAATGATCCAGAATTAACTCAGACGTATGGCCAAGTTTATCAACGGGCGATGAATCGTAGGAAAAACCAGTAAAATATGTAAATGCTTTTCTATTCTTTGTATTTATTTAGTTCTGGTTCACCAAGCTTTTATAAAAAAAAAGTTCATGAACACTTATAGGCGTACAATGACGATTGGGATTAACAAACTACAAATTATACAAATTACGCATAAATATATCATATTTTGGTAAGGGAAAATAAACCCTTCTTGCGTACTCTTTAGAATCGTTACAACAAGACTTTAAAATTTTGATTACATTCATATTACTGTATAGTCAAAATAATTTCCTCTACCATGCAATGCTATATTTTTATTCTAAAGCTAACTTGCTATTCAGACTGTCAGCTTTCATAATAAAACAATACTTAAGTTGTTTGTTGTTAACATTCGTGAGACATTTTCCCTTACATAAATTGCCATTGTCATCTAAGTCGTGATTATTTTTTATTGAACCAATTAAATTTTTAGTCTTATGTAATTCGCGGATCTTGAAGTCATAGCACTTAGTATTTGCTTTATTAATTTTATGATTGTTAATTAACCCAGATGACAAGTTCTAAGATTTTAAGTTAAGATTATCTAAATGCATATGAGATATCTATGCATTTAGACAGATATTGAAAATTAAGATTTTACAATTAAGATTATCTAAATGCATATGAAGATAGACAGTATATGCAATTAAACAAACCATATCGATATCATTTCGAAATAAAATCCTGGGGCTTATTTCGAGATATATAATTTAAAGTGGTTAAAATTAATTTAGCTAAAGGTTTATAATTTTATAATATAGTAATTGTGATATTAAATATTATTAATAACTTACATTTACACAGTATTTATTTTACTGTATTAATATTAACAATATTAATTTTTGTTTTACAAATAGCTTTAATATAACTAGGCATATTTAACATACAAATAGCTTTAATATAACTAGGCATATTTAACATTAGATAACATGAAGTTTTTATATTTATTTTTTTGTATAGTACAAGTTAATTCTTGTTTGAACTAAATAACAGATTTTTTTTTTAGATTTAATAATCTAAATACTATAGTTTTACAAATATTTATATAATTGAATTTAAGTTTAAACTAATAGAATTTAATTTATAACTAAAATCAATATAATTTTAACTATTATTTATATAATTTATAGTATTTTATAACAAGAGATTAAATGTTGTTAAAAAATCAAATTTGAATTATATAATAAAAATTTTTTTTATAACTTTGGTAAACTTGCTAGTAATTTTTATTATAGAGTACATTTATTTATTGCCTCTATATGACGCATTTTATATATTACTCTTATATGATTAATTAATTGAATCTCAAGATTAGATGTAACATTATACATTTAGAAAATTCAAAACAAAATGAACATTTTGCCAAAAATCACCATAACTTAAAATATTACATATAAAACCACCTTTTGGGTTTTAATAAAAAAAATTTTTTGCAAAATTTTACTATAAAGCCTAGTTTTTTTCCTTAACTTTAATCTTATCTAACACTAACCCTAATTATATAAAAAAATTATTAGTTTGATTTTACATTATATCTAATCTTATGATCTTCATTAGGATAACAATATCACTCATGTAATATATAAATTCTTTCTTTATTATATATAGTAAATAATTATATCTTTTATTATACTGTATATTTTACTATATATTATTAATTGATAATCTGTGAGTCAATCAAAGAAAATGATCTGCAATTATTAAGTAAAAATAATGAATTACAGTAATAAAAAATCACGACTTAGATGACAATGGCAATTTATGTAAGGGAAAATGTCTCACGAATGTTAACAACAAACAACT